TGTGTGTGTGTGTGTGTGTGGTCTCGCGGCAGTTAATTGATTGGCTCTGTGATTGTGTTGAACGTCTCACGCTTTGACACTCTTGTATGACTGACACTCGGCTCATAACCAGAGGGGCGTCTCGGAATCCGAAACACGAAAGCGGGGTTCCGACTTGAAAGCGCCGAATTATTACGAACGCTGTCCATCAGGGAAAAAACAACTGAAAACAGCAGTCGCGCCCCCAAATACCCCTCTGTCATGAGATAGAAAAAAGGCGGACGGTGAGTGACTTAAAAAGAGACAAAACAAGGGTGAGAAGAAGAGCCGGACTAGCCGGATAATGGGGTTATCGGCTGAGTGGGTGGTCAGAATACATTTACACGGCGTTACCCAAGGCGCCAAGGTTTGGTTTGGTTAATTGGTTAGGAAATAAGGGATAGACAGGGATCTATGGACGCCGACGTCAGCCTTACAAATCATCATCGTCAAGATTTTCATTTCGGTTATAAGCTACTAAACAGTTCCATAATAAATATACAGAATTTGACATACTGAACGAAAAGGTTTTAGGTTGACGCCTTAGCTTATTTGACCTTTTTTGTCACTTTCACAAGTCCAACAGATGCACACACGATGTCGAATATTAATATTAACGTTTCATATTAATGCCCCAAATAATGCAAAAAAAAAAAGGTCAAAAAGCAAGTTAATTTGCACTATAAAACAGAACATTAAATAAAAATGTACCTTTTTCAAAAAAAGTTTTTATTTATTTATTTAAAATGTTTTTTTTTAACTAACTGTATTAAATTTGATTGCTGTTAATTAGAAAATCTAAATAATGCACACGATCGTAACATTTGTGACCCTGGACCACAAAACCAGTCATAAAGTTTTTTTTTAATTGAGATTTTTACATAATCTGAAAGCTGAATAAATAAGCTTTCCATTGATGTTGTTAGGATAGGACAATATTTGGCTGAGATACAACTATTTGAAAATCTGGAATCTGATGGTGCAAAATAAATCAAAATGTTGAGAAAATCGCCTTTAAAGTCGTCCAAATGAAGTTCTAAGCAATGCATATTACTAGTCAAAAATTAAGTTTTGATATATTTACGGTAGGAAATTTACAAAATATCTTCATGGAACATGATCTTTACTTAATATCCTATAATGATTTTTGGTATAAAAGAAAAATCTATAATTTTGACCTGTACAATGTATTGTTGGCTATTGCTACAAATATACCCGTGCTACTTATGACTGGTTTTGTGCTCTAGGGTCACATTTAATATTATTGGTGAGACATTTTGTTAGATATAGTTCTCTATCACTGTTTTAATAGTTTTTGGAAAACCAAAATAGTTCAATAGTTTTAAGAAAAACCCATTATATTAGTGACACATTCAACAACAACTGCATTTGACTGAATATTTTTAAATATATCAAATATTCGATAACTGCTTTTAAAATATGAGCAATTTTTTCCCACATTTTTAATATTTTTGGACCATGGCTTTGGTTTATTTCTGACTCTGGTCCTCACGTTTCAATAATAATACAATAATACAATTATATATATATATGTTTTTTTTTTTTCAAATCTAATGTTAATTTCTCATATTTTTAGGTGTTCTATGGAGCAGACAACCTGCCGTTGGGCCCCAGAGGATATCCCCCCCCAGAGCATCACTACCAGAGTTACGGCCCACCGTGTGATTCAGCAGCTGCGGGAAACACCGGGAGACTCGGAAGCCCAGTGGGAATACTGCCTCCACCAAACCCCAAAGGATACGCTGAGAGCAACTCCAGAGAAACTGAGTTTCCGGCGCTGCAATCAGTTTACAGACGGACCTTAAGCCACGCCAAGCCACCATATTCCTACATCTCTCTTATCTGCATGGCAATCCACCAGTCGCCAGCCAAGAGACTGACTCTGAACGAGATCTACGACTGGATCCGCCAGCTCTTTCCGTATTACAGACAGAATCAACAGCGATGGCAAAACTCCATCCGACATTCCCTGTCGTTCAACGACTGCTTTATGCGTGTACCGAGATCACCAGACTCGCCAGGGAAAGGCTCGTACTGGGCCCTGCACCCCGACTCCGGTAACATGTTCGAGAACGGCTGCTACATGCGTCGCCAGAAGCGATTCAAGTGTCAAAAGGCGACGTCACCATCGAAACATTCGGATGGGGAAACTGTGAAATCGGAAGGGAAGAAAAAAAAGGTGGAGGTCAAGTCAGTCACCTCTTCTTGTGAATCGCCTGTACCTCCTCCAGTTGACACCACAACACAGCATTCAGGCATATTACCAGTGTCCTATCCCGCAGCCAAAGCACCTTCTCCTTCCCATCTTCCTCAACACCTTACTCCCTCACACACTTTATTTCCTACCCTGCCTCCAGAGATCTCAACACACTTGCCTTCTCTGAACGTCCCGTTTCCAACAATGCCCAGTCCCAACCTGCAGTCTGTTCCACAAGCCTCAATGGAAACCAGCTTGCATTGTGAACCAACATCCCAACACCTCATTTCTGTCCCACGACTTCTGGACTTCCAGTACTGCGAGACTCCTGTGAACTACCCAGTTTACTGCCAGTCTAATTCCCATTCCAACTTTACCTCGTATGCTGGGAACTCTGTTTACTACCCTGGGTTTAGCATGTGTTCTGCTCCTCTTCTGAGTTCCTCCTGATCAGCCTCCTGTAGTGTATTGAGGGCTGTTAAAATGGGATTCATTTCTGTTTAGATGCTTATAATTGCTGTATATATTAGTTGATGGACACCTCATAGCTGGAGAAGTATCTGTTATCTGATGCTGAAGGATTCTTTGATTCTGTGTGAATGTGCATTAAATTGAATTGAAGGTGTTTGAAGATACATATGAATGTGAATTCCTTGCTGTAAATCTCAAGTAAAATTTTGAACATTTCTAAAGGTGTTAGTTCTGTTATTTGCATGTCTGGTGTGAGGTGCAAGATTATAATCACACTTTCGGGCTTTCACATTATTTTATGCATTTTTTAATCAACTCAACAGAGGCATTGTTCTGCTCACATTGTAAAAGATAAACATAATTTCCTGTCCTGACATGCCTCACACTAACTTTTGTAGCCACCTTTAGAAACCAAAAAAAAGTCACAATTTGCATTAAATACAGCAGACCCTGAAAAATAAATTATATATATATATTATATATTTATGGCACTAAGATGTCTCTAAATAGAAAATCAAACAATATGTTGAAAAAAATCAAAAATATGAATAAATCATATATATATATATATATATATATATATATATATATATATATATATATATATATATATGCATATTCATTTATTAGTAAACAAGTGTTTATTTATTATTGTAAATAATACATATTTATGACATGACAGGCAGAAAAAGAAAATTAATTATAGATAAAATTAGATGTGATAAAATAATTAGATAATATAAAATAAATGATTTAACTAAAATGTCTATTAACAGGCAGAAAAAGAAAACAAAATAAATTACAATTAAAATCATATATATGATCAAATAATTTGATATTATAAATATTAATTTACTAGTTAATGAGTTTAAAAATAATATTAAATCTCTAAACAGGCAGAAAAACAAACAAATAAATAATATTACATATGAAATAATTAGATAATATAAAATGAATAATATAGGGGGATTGTGTATATTAATTTACTAGTGAATGAGTTTGAAATAAAAATGAATGTGTATGGCGCTTAGATGTTTTTAAACAGGCAGAAAACATTTTAAATAATTTTTTTAAATTATATATGATAATATAAAAAATAAATTAACAAGAAAATGAAATAATAATTGAAATAAAAATGCATATTTATGACATTAACATGCAGGCAATAAAACTGCACAAACCCATCAAACTACAGATTCACTGATGATATAGGAGGTTAGTGGTTAGTGTCCAAACATGGCTTGCGATTTTGACGGTTTAGTGCGGTTGGTGTGGTGTCTCATGGGCTGAATACTAGCAGTAGGAAGGTTGCGACCCCCTTCATCCCCTCCTAGCCTAACCTTTAATTCCTGTGAAAGCAGGATTGTGTTTGAGTGTATGAGAACAATAGGAAGACACTGTCTTAATGGTGGACCTCCCCAAAGCAGTGTCTTCTCAACAATGGGACACAGGGACACCCACAGCGATCTGAGCAGAAGCCACAGACCCCTCAGTGTGTGTCCGAGATTCAGACTGAGGGCGAGACGTGAGGAGTTCATGAGCTTTCTGGGCTGTGATCTGTTCCTGCGCAGATTATTGTCTTCTTTAGAAGTCGGCCCGTCGACAGATTCTGCTGTATGTTGATATGATGGATGACTGTGCCGTGGCTTTCTAAATATCTGAAGAGTCTGGCTATGTGTGTATTCAGTTCTTAGAATTACAAGGGCGTGAATGTGGATTTGTAGGGTGTGAAGATGCTGTCTGCAGGTCATCAGTAGACTAACTGTGGATCCAGACTGTGAGGGGGGTTGGGGCAGGAGGAAGGGATCTGCTGCCAGGTGACTGTTGGCGAAAAAGTTTGTCAAATTCAGTTCAGTTATTCTGATTAGTCTCATTTATCTTAAATGTATAAAGTGTTGCATTTATGGTATCAAAAACATGATCTTTATATTAATTTACATTATATGTATTGCATTATAATTAAAAGAAGACTGGCATATAGTATCTGCCAAAATCCGTGTAATTTGTTGAAATTATATGAATGTAAAGAGTTCAAAAGTTTGGGGTCAGTAAGATTTTTCTCTTATTTTATTTTTTGAAAATAATTTTGCATTAAATTGATGGCTGACTGTAATGACATTTATATAAATGGAAATAAAAATACATATTTATAACACTAACATCTTTTGACAGCCAGAAAAAATTAATAAATTGTAAATTAAATTAGATATGATAAAATAATTAGATAATATAAAAGAGCATATTTAAAGAACTAGAATGTTTCTTAACAGGCAGAAAAAGAAAACAAAATAAATTATGAATAAAATTATATATGATAAAATAATGAGATATTATACACATTCATTTCCTAGTAAATGAGTTCAAAAATACAAAATAATATTACAATTAAATTGATGGGTGACTGTAAATAAATATATAAAAATTAATATAGAATAAATAAATATATAAAAATTGTGTGCATTTATTTAAAAATCTTAAAGAAATAAATTCATACAATTATGCATAATTTATCAATAAAAAAATAATAAATGTAATTAAATTCTGTGTATATTTCTGTACTGGTCATCATTACTTTTAAGCTCCACACCATTTCTAATGACGTTTTTGCTTTGACTAGTTCATCTGAAATGCTCCTGTGTTGTGACCATTCTTAAAAGAACAAAATAATTTTATTAGTCATAAAAAATCAGCATGCACAATTATTCTAAAAGAATTACAAACTGCTGTTTAAAACAGTAGAGCATGTCACTCTGCAGGACATGTCACATCCAAAAAGTATCAACGACCCAAACGCAGAAGACAATATTTTATTTTATAAGCATTTAATCAATGGCTGCTTAAAACATCTAATGGGGGGTTTGTTCCGCTTGTCAAAAAGCTGGCATGTGATTGGCTGGAGAGTGGAAGCTGCCCTGTTGGCATGGCAGCGGCCGAACAGCCTAGGCCATGTTGTTTACACAGTGGCCAGCTTTTTATTGCCTGTCTGTGCCTGCACGTCTCCGTTAGTGTCCCTCCGTCTCCTTTCACTCGGGTAAATATGCTTGTTCAAATAGCCATCAGTCAGAGGCAGTGACAGGCCTGTACTCCTTCCCACTTCCCCCGAACCCACACTCATCCCCCTTGCTTCAGGCCACGCTCCCTATCTGAATGAGAAAGCGTTCAAACTCTTGCTACATTTCAATTAATTCCAAAGAACTCAGGCAAACACTTAGATTCCCTATAGGTCATAAATAAAACATTGATTTAGATTAAAGAAACACTTTTCTGTTTTAGAAAAGTGATAGCATTCCAGCTATGCGCTTAGAATAAAATCTACAACTTGTCTTCTCTCGTTTAACGTCATCCACTATTCATCTCCTCTATTATTCTCTCTTCATTTCTGGATCCACCTGTGTTTGCAGAGTGACAGTGGTGCGGTTCTTTCAGGACAGTCAGATAAGCTCCCAGCAAATAACAAAAAAAGATGAGGGACACCCGGCATCTATTTATCCCTTTCTTTCCTCTTTCATCCCTTTGTAATGTGATTCCTCTATTCATTGCTCGGCCTTGTGGCTCTCTGGCCGGTCTGTTTAGGGTGTGCACCCTTAAAGGAGCAGTTTACTGTCATTTTGTTCCAAATCTTTATGGTTTACTTTGTTGTTATATATAGGCTATTCACTTTCATGGCATCTTTTTTTACTAAACAATGAATGGCGGACTATCATTCTATCTACACAACCTAGGCTAGGATACATCTTCTACAGGTAAAGTTGTTTCTTTCCTATAGGTTTCAAACAACACGAGGGTTAGTAAATAATGACAGAATAGTCAATTCTCTGTGAATTATCACTGTAATATATATATATATATATATATATATATATATATATATATATATATATATATATATATATATATATACACACACCCCTT